GTGTGTGTGTGTGTGTGTGTGTATGTGTGTGTGTATGTATGTATGTATGTACACAACATGTTCAGTGCCTGTAAAACTGACTAAATATCTCTTTAATGCAATAGTTGTCAGTGATTTGCTTCCGTCTGCTGCTGCAGTAAATAATTGCAGTTTCATTGGTTTTTCAGTGTAGTTTTATGAAACAGAGATCGTTGTTATCAGACATAAAATACATTTTCTGTTATTTTATTTTACTGTCAGAGACTATAGATGTTTTAGCAGCCTGACATCAATGATAACATTTTTTCAAATATATTCTTAAAAGGACAAAATAAATTGTCTTCTCTCATCATGCTTTCCCTCGCAGTTCAGCTCCTGATTTCTTTTACTGAAGCAGAGCTGTTTCCTTTCTATAAAAGGCACCAGAAATTTGATACGAAACACAGTTCTGCACACAAACCATTGACCACTACACAACACGATTAAAATAAGATATTTCACAAAAACATGGCAAGTCTGACAGTGAGAATTAAATAGTTTTCCTTGAGGAAAAACTATACTCTTTTAGGCCTTTCTTAAAACAAAAAGACCAGTTGCAATTAAATGTCCAACAAACTGATTTAACTATTACATTTACAAAAATACTTTTTCAGATGAAATTAATTATTTCAAAGTGGGATCATTGTTCACAAATAAAGAAAAGAGACAACACAGTGTTTTCCATGTCTTTTACAAGAGTTTGGTCTTTTGTTTGCTTGGTGTATAAAATTACTAATAAATGTCAACAGTTTAAAAATATTTTATTCTTACAATGTGAGAAATTATAGTTTTAATAAGTTTRTTCAACACTTTATAAACTGTGTTATCTTTGTCAAACTTGAAGTAGATTTTGAAAACGGTATAATCTTAATCTTATGAAATGAAAATCAGCTTTATGTACATTTCTTTGCCACTTTAGAACCGAGCAGTTAAAAAAAACATATCTGGCGCCCCCTCGTGGCGCTCTTAAGTAGCTGCCGCCTATACGTCATCAACAGTGGACGGAAACAGTACCCGGACCAACAAGCTAACGCAACAATGGTGAGCAACCGGTTCGAATTTCCTTTTAATTTACAAGAAAACACATTTCGTTTGTAAAAGTCATCGACTTACACAAAGCTCCTTAAATCATTATGTGTGTTTGACTTCACGTATTTTGTCTAAACTGTTGTAATCACGCTCGACGCGTAGCTCGACGCTAACACTAACGTTAGCATGTCGTTACGCTTTGCAGCTTTTCTACTCGTTTTTCAAGTCGCTGGTTGGGAAGGACGTGGTGGTGGAGCTCAAAAATGACTTGAGGTTAGTTTGTTACTAACTAAGTCAATAAACCAGTGATAATTTGCTTTCGCTTCTGTGTTTTATAAGCTGAAAATGGGCGCTAACACGGAAGCATGCTGGTTGATTTTCAATTCAAATGAATGGAAACACATGAGACAGAGATGAGATCACCTCACTTTGCTGCAATGTTTATTAAAATGTGTGTAGCTGTTTGTACCTGCATTCATTTTTATTCCCAATTCTGCTTTCAGCATCTGCGGAACGCTCCATTCTGTTGACCAGGTTGGAAATATGAGTTCAAAACATTTTATTTTTAACCCAAAATCCTTACATCTTTCAGCTTGTTGTCATATTTATGTCCCTGTGTTTTGCGCTTTTAGTACCTGAACATTAAGCTGACAGACATCAGCGTCACCGACCCAGAAAAATATCCTCACATGGTAAGTTGCAGTGATGGCAATGTCTCTTTCATGATGAGTTTATTTGTTAAGCCTGTTTAAAACACATACAAGTGTAAAATAGTAAAGTAGCAACTAAAACAATACAAAAATAAACATGTTTTAAAATGTGATTTAAAGTCTGGGACCAATCACTGAATCAGATTTCAAGAATATTCTGAGAAATGTTATGGTAAAATTGTGAAAATCCTAATTTAAAAAAACGGTTTCAAAACATATTTCTGTCTCAGAGACTGTCAGAAAATATTTGCCTCCTCCTCCTCCGCTCCACTGTATCGTTGTTTCATACTGCAGATTATTTTTAGGGAACGTGCATCTGAAGGTTGAGTTAAAGAAAAAAAAMCATAATAAAATAAAGTTCAGTCCCACATTGACTAGAATAWACATCTGGGGTCAGATTTATAAAACTGGCGTACGCACAATATGAGCCCAGAAACTTGCGTACGCCACTTTTTACGCCAAGGTTGTGATTTATAAAATCCAAACTTGACGTGAAAATGTGCGGTGCCTCAGCCAGCTCTGACCCATGCGTACACTCATTTTGGAGACAGGAAACTGCACGGGGAGGGGGTGTCTGCCGCGGATAACAGAGCAGGCATGAGGGGGAGAGGATGAGGAGAAGAGCAGTGAACTTATTTC